CTCAAGAGAGGGTACTTCAAAGACCCAAAAGGGTACCGGTGGGCTTTTGGTATTGCTGCTTTGGAGACTGAGGAAATTGAGCAGCTGTCCACCTTGCCTGGTCTCTCAGAAGATCCCTCTGCTGTGGGGTTGCTGAAAGTTGAAGAACAACAAGTGCCAATTGCGACCACAACAGTGCACCGGCGGCAATATCGCACCAACCGAGACTCCCTGATTCCCATCCATCAGCTGATCCGTAGACTGGAGAGTCAGGGGGTGATCAGCAGGACCCGCTCACCCTTCAATAGCCCCATATGGCCAGTGCGAAAGTCTAATGGAGAATGGAGACTAACAGTAGACTATCGTGGCCTGAATGAAGTCACACCACCATTGAGTGCTGCCGTACCGGACATGCTAGAACTTCAGTATGAACTAGAGTCAAAAGCAGCCAAGTGGTATGCCACGATTGATATTGCCAATGCATTTTTCTCCATTCCTTTGGCAGCAGAGTGCAGGCCACAGTTTGCTTTTACTTGGAGGGGTGTCCAGTTCACTTGGAACCGACTGCCCCAGGGGTGGAAACACAGCCCTACCATTTGCCATGGACTGATCCAGACTGCACTGGAACAGGGGCAAGCTCCAGAACACCTGCAATACATTGATGACATTATTGTGTGGGGCGATACAGCGGAAGAAGTCTTTGAGAAAGGGAGGAAAATAATCCAAATCCTGCTGAAAGCCGGTTTTGCCATAAAACGGAGTAAGGTCAAGGGACCTGCACAGGAGATTCAATTTTTGGGAATAAAATGGCAAGATGGACGTAGACAGATCCCCACAGATGTGATCAACAAGATAACAGCAATGTCTCCACCAACTAATAAGAAAGAAACGCAAGCTTTCTTGGGTGCAGTGGGGTTCTGGAGAATGCACATCCCAAATTACAGTTCGATTGTAAGCCCTCTCTATCATGTGACCCGGAAGAAGAATGATTTTAAATGGGGCCCTGAGCAGCAACAAGCCTTTGAGCAAATTAAACGCAAGATAGTTCATGCAGTAGCCCTTGGACCAGTCCGAACCGGACCAGATGTAAAAAATGTGCTGTACACTGCAGCTGGGGAGAACGGTCCTACCTGGAGCCTCTGGCAGAAAGCTCCAGGGGAGACTCGAGGTCGACCCCTCGGCTTTTGGAGTCGGGGATACAAAGGATCTGAGGCCAGCTATACCCCAACTGAGAAAGAGATACTGGCAGCCTATGAAGGGGTTCGAGCTGCTTCGGAAGTGATTGGCACTGAAGCACAGCTCCTCCTGGCACCCCGGCTGCCCGTGCGGGGCTGGATGTTCAAAGGCAGGGTCTCCTCTACACATCATGCAACTGATGCTACATGGAGTAAATGGGCTGCACTAATTACACAACGAACTCGAATAGGAAATCCCAGTCGTCCAGGCATTCTAAAAGTCATCATGGACTGGCCAGAGGGCAAAGATTTCGGAATGTCACCAGAGGAGGAGGTGGTGCGCGCTGAAGAGGCCCCACCATATAATAAACTGTCAGAAAGTGAAAAGCAGTATGCCTTGTTTACTGATGGCTCTTGCCGTATTGTGGGAAAGCATCGGAGATGGAAGGCAGCTGTATGGAGTCCTGGACGACAAGTTGCAGAAACTGCTGAAGGAGAGGGTGAATCGAGTCAATTTGCCGAGGTGAAAGCCATCCAGCTGGCCCTGGACATTGCTGAACGAGAAAAGTGGCCAGTACTTTATCTCTATACTGACTCATGGATGGTGGCAAATGCCCTGTGGGGGTGGTTGAAGCAATGGAAGCAGAGCAACTGGCAACGCAGAGGTAAACCCATCTGGGCTGCTGCACTGTGGAAAGATATTGCTGCCCGGGTGCAGAACCTGGTGGTGAAGGTACGTCATGTAGATGCCCATGTACCCAAGAGTCGGGCCACTGAGGAACACCAGAACAACCAACAAGTGGATAAAGCGGCTAAGATTGAAGTGGCTCAGATGGACTTAGATTGGCAACATAAAGGTGAATTATTTTTGGCCCGGTGGGCCCATGACACTTCAGGCCATCAGGGCAGAGATGCAACATATAGATGGGCCCGTGACCGAGGGGTGGACTTAACAATGGACACTATTGCCCAGGTTATTCATGAGTGTGAAACATGTGCTGCAATTAAACAAGCCAAGCGGTTAAAGCCTCTTTGGTATGGAGGACGATGGTTGAAGTATAAATATGGTGAGGCCTGGCAGATTGACTATATCACACTGCCACCAACCCGCCAAGGCAAGCGCCATGTGCTTACCATGGTGGAAGCAACCACCGGGTGGCTGGAAACATACGCTGTGCCCCATGCCACTGCCCGGAACACTATCCTGGGCCTTGAGAAACAGATTTTGTGGCGACACGGCACCCCAGACAGAATTGAGTCAGACAATGGGACTCATTTCCGGAATAACCTTATAGATATTTGGGCCAAAGAGCATGGCATTGAGTGGGTATATCACATCCCCTACCATGCACCAGCCTCTGGGAAAATCGAACGGTACAATGGGCTGTTAAAAACTACACTGAGAGCGATGGGTGGGGGAACTTTCAAGCATTGGGATACACATTTACCAAAGGCCACCTGGTTGGTCAACACCAGAGGATCTGCCAACAGGGCCGGCCCAGCCCAGTCAGAACTTTTACATATTGTAGAGGGGGACAAAGTTCCCGTGGTGCATATGAAGTATTTGCTGGGGAAGACAGTCTGGGTTATTCCTGCTTCAGGTAAAGGCAAACCCACTCGTGGGATTGCTTTTGCTCAAGGACCTGGATATACTTGGTGGGTAATGCGGGAAGATGGGGAAGTCCGATGTATACCTCAAGGGGATTTGATTTTAGGGGAAAACAGCCAGTGAACTCAATTGTATGCTGTTGCCTGCTGTGTAATGCTTTTATAGCCCATCAACTAGATGTCTCCAGGTCACCAGCGACTGGCCCTGACTTCCCTCCAGCCATCATCCCAACAGAGAATGAACTTGGAACATCATGGACCGAATGGACTCGGCAGCATTATAGGGATTGGTCCATGCACTAAGAAAATGATTTTTTTCCTCTTGGTCTGTATGTATATGGATGTATATATGTGGGAGAGTGATGGTGTATTGAAAATGTGGGATCTGAGCACGACGTGAATGGTATGGAATAAGGGGTGGATAATGTCCTGGGTTCAGCAGTAGCAGTCATGTTTTTTCCTTTGTGTTAGCTGGTGCAGTGCTGTGTTTTGACTTCTAGTTTTGAGAACAGCGTTGGTGAAGCCGATGTTGTCGGTTGTTGCTAAGTGATGTTTACCCTGACCAAGGACTCTGTGAGGCTCATGCTCTGCCAGGGAGGAGGGGAAGCTGTGAGGAAGCAGAGACGGGGCGCCTGACCCGGGCTAGCCGGGGAGGTATTCCATACCACAGCACGTCATGCCCGGGGTGGGGGGTAACTGGGAGTTACCCGGAAGGACAGGAGCTTCCGGGTGGAACTCGTTTTCTTGGCCGGTGGTATCGTATTCTCTTCCCTTGTTATTTTCCCTTATCATTGTTTTAGCTGATAGTAGCGGTGGTGATTTGTTGCTGGACTGTTCTTGTCTCAACCCGTAGGAGTTGCACTCTCTCGATCCTCCTCCCCGTTCCTCCGGGAGCGGGGAAGGGGAGAGCCCCGGTGCAGGGGGGGGGGGGGAGACGAACACGGACCTTGATTGTTGTCAGCTTGGCACCACTCACTGGGAGTGAGTGAACAAGTTACCTGACTGGGTTTAAACCACGACAGTTCTTTTTGGCGCCCAACGTGGGGCACGAGGGGTTGAGATAAGAACAGATCTGACTGGATTGATAGTCACTCGTCACAATGCTGATTTATTGGCTCTCAAGGTTTTTCCTCTTGATCTCACAGTTTCAGTATACCATATCTTACGTCCATCCGGTATTGGCTGTATTAGTGTTTTTCAAGTGTGGGGCTTGGGCTAAGGTTTTTATCCCATTGTACTTTATGGTAATGACTTGTAATACAATATAATCATTGATCATGAAACTGATCTGGCTTATGTTCCCAGTGTGGTCACCACCTTTATACTTTGGGAGGTATATGATGGAGGTGCTTAGCAATTACACATCTTTTTTCTCCTTCTCAGGTGCTCAACCTGTGAAGGAGACATCCTTTTACACTCCCAGTCCTCCCCCCAGACCATTTACATTTGAGAGTTTCGAATTTTTTAAATGGCCTTTTAATGCTCTTGAGACTTGTTTGCTGATGGTGATGGGAATCACCATGCTAACACGCATACAGAGTGTGTTTTGCCCACTACTGATTTCAAGAGTTAAGCAGATTCAGGTTTGGGTCTTGTCTGGGGTCAAACGACGATGTAGGAGGACCGAGAGATTTTCCCAGAGGCTGGACAGGTAGACTCGAGGCCAAATTCAGGTCCTAGACCAGAGATGACAGAATCAGCAGATTCAAAATTATATTTGCAATCACCCCACTTCCCCCTCTTTGAGCATGTTTTCCTTGATCATGCATATAGGGTTTATAAAAAACAGCCTCAGAAGTTCTCCTTCCACAGCTCAAGTACTTCTATGAGTACTCTTTACCACACCAACATCTCTCTAACAGTCCATAATTAAGGTCAAGATTCCTCCCTATTTCACTCCACTTCTGAGCCATCATAATTCCAGAAATCTAAGTGACCAGATCTAGCTAGCAAGAGGAAAACCAGTTTTAATTCAATCTGCACCAGACCCAAAGTTTCTGAAATTTTTAAAACTGCCCATATCAAACAGCACAGAAAACAGCTATGTAAGTGCCTCTACCTCCAGCACATTCTATCACCTTTACATCTATTAACCAAGAGAATCCAACCTCCTTGTGATGTACCTGCCTGTTCCACCCTGCAGCCACAGGACCTCCAGTCCTTCCAGAAAGGAGGTCAGAGTACAGCAGAACTTTTAAATCCACATCACCAGCCACTGAACTGGAACAAGGCACTTACCCATCTCTACCTTTACTGACGATTTTCACTTCAAAGTAATAAATGCCACAGGCTGTAGGTATAGGGTGCGTAGCCCTGACCGACGCAGCATCTTTGTGATTCTTACCGTGACCTAGGAAAGAACAGAAATGTAAGTCCTGATAGGAGCCGAACTCTGCCACATTTTGGTCTGAAACACTACTGCCCTAACACAGCAGGGAACTGTTTCTACATACATCCAATAATATAAAGCCCTCTTTTCAGAGGGCTGGAATATACAGCCCTGCGCTGCCACTGTGAACCATCCCTTCAGTAGGAGTACTGTAGTTTTTCCTTTGTTTACACTGTGAAGTTACTGAGACTGACAGTAGTACCTCTCTCCCTCCCCACGTACAAAATTTGAAGACCAATGTACACCGACAGAAGACAAACATAACTACGCAAAGGGGGATTTACATCAGTGTTTACTAATCAGGCAAGAAAAAGAATAATCAGTTCTCTGCTGGGTAGGTAGGAAGAACAGACTCCACTGACAAACAAGGAAAACACCAATGTGATTCCCCCAGTCCTACAAACCCACAAACATCCCTTTCGTGTTAACTCACTGTCCTGGGTTCAGCAGTAGCAGTCATTTTTCTCCTTCTTGGCAGCTGGTGCAGTGCTGTGTTTTGACTTTTGGCCTGATGTTTTGGTCTGGCCAAGGACTTTGTGAGCCTCATGCTCTGCCAGGGAGGAGGGGAAGCCAGGAGGAAGCAGAGACGGGACACCTGACCCAAACTGACCAAAGAGGTATTCCATACCACAGCACATCATGCCCAGGATGTAACTGGGAGTTACCCAAAAGGGCTGGGACTGCAGGGTTGGAGGAGGTATTGGTCGGTGCTTGGTGGGGCAGGGGCGAGTTTTCGGTTGCCTGGTGGTGAGGTGATGTATTCTCTTCCCTTGTTATTTCCTTTATCACTATTATTACTGGTGGTAGCAGTAGTGGCTTGTGTTATACCTTAGTTACTAAAGCGTTCTTATCTCAACCCGTGGGAGTTGCATTCTTTTCGATTCTCTTCTCCGTCCCTCCGGGAGTAAGGGGAAGGAAAAGAAGGGGGGGACTGAGTAAACGAGTTGCCTGACTGGGTTTAAACCACGACGCTCACGGAGACAAAGCCCCAGCTCCGCTACACATCAATGCCATCCGACCCCTTGGCCAAGCTTTAGGCAGAACGACAGAGTAAACAGACGACCTAGCTACACTGAGGAGCTCGGGCCCGGAGTGGCGACACTGCGAAGCGTTCTACAAAGCAGCACACTCCACCAAAGAAAAAGCCCTCGGCTCCCAACTACCTCCACTGCCCGAGCCCAGGGAAACCCACGGCACCCAGGGCCAGCAGCCCGCCCCGCGACCGCCGCCCAGCCGAAGCACCCCTTTCCCCAGGACTATCAGACACACTGTCACCCCAGCGGAGAACCCGATACCGGCCGGGCAAGAGCCGCGCCGAGGCCGCTCCGCTCTAGGCCCAGGCCGAAGCCGAACCCGGCAACCACCACCCCAGACCGGCACCTTTGTAGTGGACGCGCAGATTGTCCTGCGAAAGACCGATGTAATTGCACTTATCCTTGAGGCTCCAGGACCGCGGCAACGGCGTCTCCTCCTGATTAACAACAGGGTAAAGCCGACGAAGGCGCCAGCTCAACTCCTGCTCCACGGGTAGACACGACAGCACCGTAGCCCCCCCTTGCAAACCACCCACGCACGCCTCCGCCATCTTAGATTTACTTCGTGCCACCGGGTGGGGAGCGAAGGCCAGTTCCGACCGCTGGCCAATGAGCTGCGAGCACTACCTGACAAGAAACAATCCAGCCCGCATCCCATCCACCCCTACGCTCGCCTCGCTCTCATCAGGATTGCAGTTCCCGAAAGGCTCAGCGCGCGGAACCTCATCGCTCCTTTCGGCGCGCTGTATGCTGGGGAATGGCTTGAGGAGCGCCGTTGGGTGCGAGGTTCTTGCTCCCGGCGTGTTTTCTGGCAGCGCGGCGCTGAGGGGCTGCGTCGTACTTGTTGCTGTTTTCCCACCGCCTGCGCGCAAGCGTCGGGACCGATAGCCCCGTCAGCAGAGTTGGCAGGGCAGTGCCGTGCCAGTGGCTTCGTCCCGGGGCTGGTCTCTCCGCAGAGCCCGTTTCCTGCCGGGGTGGGGCGGGGCTGGGCAGCGCCGGAGCTGCCGCCACTGGAGCGGTGGGGCTGTGGAGTGTACAGGGATGATTCGCGTCAGCAGCTTAGAAATCCTTGTAGCCATTGCGCTTTGTGTGGAATTGGAACCCCTTGTGACCATTGTACCATGTGTGGAGAATATAGGAATGATCATTATTATGATAGATGTTCCTGTCAATACAATGACGAAAGGGAAGAGGAGACAAAGGAATAATCCCTCTTACTCAACCGCTTTACTGCTCAAAGAGAGCTTTGTTTAACTGCTTGAATGCCTTTAAGGGGTTAGGTAACCAAGAGATACACCCTGTTACAGGATGTTGTGAAACTTGGGTACTAGGCAAATAGCCATATAAGGCTATTTAAGACAGATTTAAGTGATTAGAACCTGCTCAACTTTCTAATAGTTTGGGATGGCTCCTGAGCTTTCAGCAAGATTTAAAGGTGCCCAGGTTAGCTAAAGTTTGGATGTTTCACTGTATTTCTTTAACTCACCAGGTTCTTCTGTTCCTTGGACAAGATGTATTTCAGACTACTGGTGCATGCCTGGCAATCTGGAGTCTCTGAGGAAGTTTCAGGAATAGTCCTGTGAAAGAAACTTTTCAATAGAAAGAATATGTGAAAAAAGTCCTGCAAGAAAGAAACATTTCACAATATAAAGGATTAACTAAATATACAGTGGAGATTGAGCTCCTGGCTCACATGTACCTAAGGTAAGTAGCCAATTATGAAGCTCCTGACAGATGAAGATATCCAACAGCATAATGTACTGGGAGGGACTGCTGGAAAGATCTGTGGTGCAGCTGAACTCCGGGTTTTGCCATTTGGTGACCGGCATACCATTTGGTACTGTCCTCACTGTCCCAATGAGAACAACCAGGCTGAACCCAAATGAATTCATATAACCATAGAATAGTTAGGGTTGGAAAGGACCTTAAGATCATCCAGTTCCAACCCGCCTGCCATGGGCAGGGACACCTCACATTAAACCATGTCACCCAAGGCTCTGTCCAACCTGGACTTGAACACCACCAGGGATGGAGCATTCACAACTTCCCTGGGCAACCCATTCCAGTGCCTCGCAACCCTTACAGTAAAGAACTTATTCTGTCATTGCAAGCTCAGATGAACCACTTCCCTCCAACCCAAACACCTGGAAACCAAGCACTAAGCTTTTCCCAAGTCTTTGAAGCGCCAGCCTTCGCTGCTATGACAAAGCAGGGCTGGATCTTGTGAGAACTAAGTAACCTCTGCACCTTCCCCAGGGACCGCTGCCTGATGCAGCCCTTGTCAGGGGGGCAGCTCGGAGCCAGTGGTTATTCTGGTGTTTGAGACAGCTCAGATCTTACAAATGGACCAGTTTTACCCTTCCCTACGTCTGCTAAAGATGGGCAATGCCTTTGCTTGTCAGAGCAGCTCAGCCAGCCTGCCAGAGCAACCTTCCTCCAACAGCCAGCACCAGTCACCGGCTTTAACTGGGGGACAGTGGTTTGCCACCCAAAGATGTCAGAGAGCTCACAGATCAGCACACTGCACTGATCTCAGCCAGCTGGACTTAAACAGGGGAAGTTTAGACTGGATCTAAGGAGGAAATTCTTTCCTGTTAGGGTGGTGAGGCACTGGAATGGGTTGCCCAGGGAGGTTGTGAATGCTCCATCCCTGGCAGTGTTCAAGACCAGGTTGGACGAAGCCTTTGGTGATATGGTTTAGTGTGAGGTGTCCCTGCCCATGGTGGGGGGGTTGGAACTTGATGATCTTAAGGTCCTTTCTGACCCTAACTATTCGATGATTCTATTGGTCTTCTGAAGAAAAGAGATTCAAAACAGCGGTAGAGAACCTGTCACCCATGGGTCAAAGAACCAGGGTCCCAAAAGCGCCTGCAAAGCCGGTGCCCTGGGGTGGCAGTCATGCCATGGCACTGATGGCCTGACAGGCAGTAGGAACCAGCAAATTACAGGACAAATATAACCAGGAACTCTCTTTCCTAGACTAGTAAGTAGCATGTATAGGTGAAAGACTTTGAGAAGTAAACATACACTTGCATGTGCATTGTAGGGAAAATGAGTGTGGCCATGATATGGAAAAGCAGCCCTGAGGTCCCAGTGAATTTGCAGGTCCTGTACTGCACGAGATGACCGTAGACTCGGCTTGATCTCTGAGCACTGGCTTCACCTGCCAGCCTGGCTTCACCCTCAGGTGGAGGCAGCTGTTGTACCTTTAGCAGCTCTCACCCTCTAACCACCCACTTTCCAGGGAGGTGGGCACAGGGCAAACTGCCCTCACTTCCAACAGCCCACCAATGGCCAGCACAGCACTGGGCTGGGAGATTCCATCTGGTGGGCTGTTGGATCTCCCACCCTAGTGTACAAAATGTAAGCCTCAAGCTACAGCTCTCTGAAATGCAGTAACAGCAGAGCACTGCTGGGTGGAGAGGTCCTGTTTCACTCCTGGTGCCTAGGTGTACTGTTAACTATACTGTATGCTTGACAATTCTCTGAGCTATTTTAGTTTGCTAATGCAAAGGAAGACCTACAGGTCCCTAGTTTAGGCTGCCTAAACACTTAACACACAAGTTTCCCCCTCAGGGGGAGTGATTCTGCAGCTGGCAGTGAGGACAGAGGCAGAAACCCCAAGCATTGGGTCAGGTTGCCCAAGGAGCCCCACCTTTGGGTGAGATTCCCTGAGACACTGCGAGCTGATCTATCAGCTCAGTGCTCTTGAAAAGCCAGGGCACTGATACACGGATAAACTCCACAACTCGTTGAAGTTGTAAAGTAGGTATGCTTTTATTCAGCGCCGGGGCGCATGGGGATTGCTCCTCCAAAGCATGCACACCTCAGTGTCGTTTCCCTCTACTTTTCTCTTCGAAAGTTATACATATGCATTGGGTTGCTCAACATGCCTATGCGTATTCATGACCTATCCTCGCTTCCTATTATAATGAGCTAAAAGGCCCTTTGCGCGTGTGCAGTGCCTCCTGGTGGTTGTTGGGCGAGGGTCTCAAGATGAAGTAAACGAGTCTTTCTCAGTTTAAACTTTTCACCTCTTGCCATCACGCATGCTCTCTAGGGGTCTGGTCACTGTCCAATCCGCAAAGCTGGTTTTAACTGTAACTGGGTAACTGTTTCTTCCCCTTATCAGTAGCTTATGTTCTGGTACTGCATGGTAAGCATGACGGGTATTTGTTGAATGAGTATAAGAAAGCAGTACTTTTGTTAAGCAAACGGAATTCTTTTAACCCCCCTGTACATTAGCTAAACCTCTGTATCAGCACCTCTTCCCAGCCGTATCCTCTTGCTGTTTAACTTGTGCTGCTGCCATGGCTTATCAGGCCTCTTTATAAGCTGCTTTCATTCATCAGCTCAGCAGCAAACTAACTCAGAGTCATCTCTGGAACTTGCTTAGTGATCAGCACGAAAGAGAAAATATAAGATTGTACCTGGTACAGCTTTCACGGCACAGGTACACTGGCATGAGAAACTGTGGAAGCTTGTGCTGTGCACCTGGATACAAGGAGCATGGAAAAGCAGGAGCAACCAGGAGCCACATCTGACAACAATTATCGGGTGGCAACACCAGGGCGGTGCCACAGCCCCACAGGAAAGGACGCTCTCCCAGCGGGGCGGGGGTCTGACCCGTACCTGCCCGGCGGAACGCAGCTCGTCGCCATGGCTGTGTCTCTGCTGTTTACACGTGTACCCCATGGAGACACTTCACCCTGTGTCGTGGTTTAAACCCAGTCAGGTAACTTGTTCACTCACTCCCAGTGAGTGGTGCCGAGCTGACAACAATCGAGGTCCGTGCCCCCCCCCCCCACCGGGGTTCTCCCCTTCCCCACTCCCGGAGGAACGGGGAGGAGGATAGAAAAAGTGCAACTCCCACGGGTTGAGACAAGAACAGTCCAGCAACCAATGTAAACAAATCACCACCGCTACTATCAACTACAACAATGATAAGGGAAAATAACAAGGGAAGAGAATACGATACCACCGGCCAAGAAAACGAGTTCCACCCGGAAGCCCGTGTCCTTCTGGGTAACTCCCAGTCACCCCCCACCCCGGCCATGACATGCTGTGGTATGGAATACCTCCCCGGCTAGCCTGGGTCAGGCGCCCCGTCTCTGCTTCCTCCCGGCTTCCCCTCCTCCCTGGCAGAGCATGAGCCTCACAAAGTCCTTGGTCAGGGTAAACATCACTTAGCAACAACTGAAAACATCGACTTCACCAACACTGTTCTCAGGCTGGAAGTCAAAACACAGCACTGCACCAGCTACCACAAAGGAAAAAAAACATGACTGCTACTGCTGAACCCAGGACATTATCCACCCCTTATTCCGTACCATTCATGTCGTGCTCAGATCCCACATTTTTCAATACACCATCGCTCTCCCATATATCTACCTCCATATACATACAGACCAAGAGGAAAAGATCATTTTCTTAGTGCATGGACCAATCCCTATAATGCTGCCGAGTCCATTCGGTCCATGATGTTCAAAGTTCATTCTCTGTTGGGATGATGGCTGGAGGGAAGTCAGGGCCAGTCGCTGGTGACCTGGAG